GAGAAGGAACAATGTTACTATCCTTTTTACCACACTTGTGCTTCAAAGTAGCACCATAATCTTCATGATAGAGAGTCTTTTGTTTTGTCACTTTCATATACTAGTGGGAACTTTTCATTATAGAACTTGGCTTGTATATTCCAACAATGGGCTTCCTCAAATGCCCTAGGTCTTCGTGAGCAAGCAAGTCAGATGCACACCCACTTAGTTTCTTTTGCTGAGCTTTCATATATTTATAGCTCTAGTGCATCCGTTGCATGGCAATCCCTACTCCTCGCATTAACATCAATTGATGGGCATCTCCATAGCTCATTGATTAGCCTCGTTGATGTGAGACTTTCTCCCTTTTTTGCCTTCTCCACATAACCCCCATCAGTATTCTATTCCACCCATAATGCTATATCCATGGATCACGCTCATATATTGCGTGAAGGTTGAAAAAGTTTGAGATTACTAAAGTATGAAATAATTGCTTGGCTTGTCATCGGGGTTGTGCATGATGAGAGCATTCTTGTGTGACGGAAATGAAGCATGACTAAACTATATGATTTTGTAGGGATGCACTTTCTTTGGCCATGTTATTTTAAGAGGACATAATTTCTTAGTTAGTATGCTTGAAGTATTATTATTTTTATGTCAATATTGAACTTTTATCTTGAATCTTTCAGATCTGAATATTCATACCACAATTAAGAAGAATTGCATTGAAAATATGCCAAGTAGCATTCCACATCAAAAGTTCTGTTTTTATCATTTACCTACTCGAGGACGAGCAGGAATTAAGCTTGGGGATGCTTGATACGTCTCCAACGTATCTATAATTTTTTATTGTTCCATGCTATATTATATTCTGTTTTGGACATTATTGGGCTTTATTATACACTTTTATATTATTTTGGGGACTAACCTACTAACCGGAGGCCCAGCCCAGAATTGCTGTTTTTTGCCTATTTTAGGGTTTCGCAGAAAAAGAATATCAAAGAGAGTCCAAATAGAATGAAACCTTCGGGAACGTGATTTTCGGAACGAACATGATCCAGAGGACTTGGACCCTACGTCAAGACATCAACCAGGAGGGCACAAGGTAGGGGGCGCGCCTCCCCCCCAAGCACCCTCCACTCTCGTGGGGCCCATGTTGCTCCACCGACGTACTTCTTCCTCCTATATATACCTACGTACCCCCAAACTACTAGATGCGGAGCCAAAACCCTAATTCCACCGCCGTAACTTTCTGTACCTGTGAGATCCCATCTTGGGGCCTTTTTCGGAGCTCCGCCGGAGGGGGCATCGATCACGGAGGGCTCCTACACCAACACCATAGCGTCTCCGATGAAGTGTGAGTAGTTTACTTCAGACCTTCGGGTCCATAGTTATTAGCTAGATGGCTTCTTCTCTCTTTTTGGATCTCAATACAAAGTTCTCCCCCTCTCTTGTGGAGATCTATTCGATGTAATCTTCTTTTGCGGTATGTTTGTTGATACCGATGAATTGTGGGTTTATGATCAAGTTTACCTATGAACAATATTTGAATCTTCTCTGAATCTTTTATGTATGATTGGTTATCTTTGCAAGTCTCTTCGAATTATCAGTTTGGTTTGGCCTACTAGATTGATCTTTCTTGCAATGGGAGAAGTGCTTAGCTTTGGGTTCAATCTTGCGGTGTCCTTTCCCAGTGACAGTAGGGGCAGCAAGGCACGTATTATATTGTTGCCATCAAGGATAACAAGATGGGGTTTTCATCATATTGCATGAGTTTATCCCTCTACATCATGTCATCTTGCTTAAAGCGTTACTCTGTTCTCTTGAACTTAATACTCTAGATGCATGCTGGATAGCGGTCGATGTGTGGAGTAATAGTAGTAGATGCAGGCAGGAGTCGATCTACTTGTGTTGGACGTGATGCCTATATACATGATAATACCTAGATATTCTCACAACTATGCTCAATTCTGTCAATTGCTCAACAGTAATTTGTCTACCCACCGTGAATACTTATGCTCTGGAGAGAAGCCACTAGTGAAACCTATGGCCCCCGGGTCTATCTTCTATCATATTAATCTTCCAATACTTATTTATTTCCTTTGCCTTTTATTTTACTTTGCATCTTTATCATAAAAATACCAAAAATATTATCTTATCATATCTTTCAGATCTCACTCTCGTAAGTGACCGTGTAGGGATTGACAACCCCTTAGCGCGTTGGTTGCGAGGATTTATTTGTTTGTGTAGGTGCGAGGGACTCGTGCGTGGTCTCCTACTAGATTGATACCTTGGTTCTCAAAAACTGAGGAAAATACTTACGCTACTTTGCTGCATCACCCTTTCCTCTTCAAGGGAAAACCAACGCAAGTGCTCAAGAGGTAGCGTGTGGCCTTGTTGTTTGCGGCGTGGTGAGGAGGAGGTGCGGCTCGGATGTGCGGCAGCAGCACCGACAGCGTGCCGGCAGCATCGCGAGGGCGGGAGCTTTACTGGCCTACGAGGGCTCGGTCGGGCCTGGTGTGCTCCTGCTATTGCATCCGGATGGCTACCGTCGCTGACAGTGGAGGTGGGGCCCCTCCCGCGTGCCGACGGTGTTGTTGCCCTAGTCCCGGCTTTGATTCTTCGACGTGTTGTCCTCACTTCGTGGTGCCGTGGTGAGACGGCGTGGGGGGCTCAAGACCGCGTTGACGCAGGGTGGTGGTTGGTTTGGTGGCAGGCTCCGGAGCGCCCGAGGTGCGGATTGGGATCGGGGGAAACCCCTGTCGGCATGGCCGACTCCGGCGCGGTGGCGCCTGTGGGTGCCACTTGACCTTCCGGGAGGGTGTCAGGGGCTACCCTTCCTCTCGCCTCGTCGTGTACCGGGGGAAACCCTTGGCAGCAGCGTCGTCATCGTCGCGATCCTTCTTGGAGGTGTTGATAGGTGCCGGCGCTTCGGAGTCTTGGAGCCTAGTGGAAGATCCCGGTGGGCGCAGCAATCGCGAGGCTTCTTCATTTTTGTTGATCCGCTGTTGTTGGCATTTGTTTCTTTTGCTTTTTCTCTGTCATTTTTTTAGGCGTGACCGTGCTGCTTTCGACCCAGCACCTATTTCTGTATGGTTCGGTTGGTTGCTTTGTATACAAAAAGCGGGGGGAAACGCTTTTTCGGAAGAAAAAAAATAGAGGGGCTTTGGGGTAGAACAGAGCACGAATAATGCCTGAATCATTTGACCTGGGCCACTGTGCCCACTTGATGGAGCGCAAGAAGAATGGACAAGAAGACTAGGTCAAATTGGTTAAGAAGAATGAGCAATGCTCTTCATTTAAAAAAATTTGAACAAGGGCAGAGTCCAAAAGGACCCCAAACTTTATTTAAAGCCAGAGCAATAGGATACACAACAAACTAAAAATTCCAAAGCAGCCCCTAAAATATGCAGAAAGGACCCCAAAGATCTAAAGAGGAACGCAGTCAGGTCCAAGCCACTCCTGATCGACTTCAAACTCACCGGCGCTGGGGACATCACCACTTGGTCCGATGAGTTCTTCACCGCAGCAATTCATAAACATCGAGCTAGAGTAGCACTGCCTCCCATGTAGCTTCAAGGCTAGGAGGAAGAGGTTTGGCCGCCCTTCAGCCAGAGGATTCGGTGGCACGGCCGCGCTGCAAGCCGGCTGACCGGTCAAGCACCATCGATGATTTGCTCTGGGAACCGGTCGCAAGAACCGTCTTCATACCAGTCCCTATCAAATTGACCGCCACCATGGTGACTGCCGTCGGCGAAAGCGAGCGAAGGGGATTCTTGCATACTAGGGGAAACATCGAGCTTATTTCCGAGGATCCCGGCGCGCCCCCTTCCAGCAGCAGCGAGCCAACCGCCGCCACCAACAAGAGTGTCGCGAGGAACCACGGAACATGGCTCGGGCGTGCTGACGGCAAAATCCTCATTGGCATGGTGCCAATCTCCGGCACGAGGTTCTTCAGGCACGTTTGAGATCGGTCATCTATGAACATTACAATCGAAGTCGCTCACATACACAAGCATAGACTCATCCTTATGAATACACACACGCACATCATATTCCTATGAGCACCTCTGATAGACTTAGCCGACATATTATCTTAAGATTTTATGAAGTCATCACAGACGCCTCGCAGTCGACATGAGCGTCTCTCCCACTGAACGAACATTGCCGGAAGCCTGAAATAAATTCAGGAATAATATGAGAACCAATGTAAAAAAACAAGACCATTCAGGACCAGCCTTTGGAGGTATATTTTTATAAAAGGAAATCTTTAAGCACCACACGTCACCTCCGGGACTCGAACGCGGGTGGGCTTGCTCGCTCCGAGTGAGGCAAGCCAATGTCAGGTCTAAGACTTGAACCCTGATGGGTTAAAGAAGGTTGATTGGTTTGATATCAGAAATTGGTATGTCAACATTTGGCAAATGTTAAATATTGGTTAACTCTTGGTTAGTTAGCGCCAGTTATTTTGGTGGCTTAAAAAATAAGCCATCTCCTCCCCAGCTTATCTCATAAGCCGCCTCTCTTATTCGTTGGGGCTTCTAAACTAGTTATGAGATAACTAATTTAGAAGTCTTAACAAATTTAAGAAGCGACTTATTTTTTAAACTGGGAAGAGGCAGCTTATGCTTTAAGCCGCCCAAAAAAACTGACCTTTATTTACTTGCCAACCATGCAAGAAATTATCAATTTTTGACAACTTTTGATATTGCCAATTATTGGGTTACCAAATATTGACAATGCCAAATATTGGCATCAAACCAATTATCGTCTATCCTTAAAAAATGCAATTATCTTCTACTACTATCTTCTTAACCATCCAACCACTGAATGTTTTCTAAAAAAAACCCACAGGAATGTTGTAGCACTAGTAATCGGCCCGTCTCTTATGAAAAAAAAACTAATCGGCCCGTCTCGTATTTGAATATCTGGACCGTCCAGTCTTGCCATTAGACGGCCTCCATCCACCGTCTTCTTCTCAACCCCCAACCCACAACCGAGTCTACCCAACCCCCCAACCCATGGCCGCCGCCGCCGCGGTCGCGGTCGCCACTGGCGCCGACTGGACCGTCGTCCGCCGGCGTGGCGGCCGCCGCCGAGGTGACGTCCCGGTCACCACCTCCCACCTTGACGCCCCGCCGCCACTCCCGTTGACCCCGATCCCGTGGGCGCCCTCCGACCCGTCCCTCGACCCAGCCCGCGTCTCCCGCCTCCTCGACCGCGCCCGGGCCGCGATCTCCCGCGTCGAGGCCTCCCGCTTATACCGCCGCCTCCTCCTCCCCGACTCCCCGCTCTGCCGCCGCCTCGCCTCGCTCGCCCCCGCCCGCCTCTCCCTCCTCGGCGTCGGCAGCTTCGAGTCCTCCCCGGCCGCGCGCCTCCAGCTCGCGCTCGCGGCACTCCTCCGCCGCGACCTCCTCCCGGGCGCCTCCGCCACGGCCGACCTCTTCGACCCCGTCCTCTCCTCCGTCGAGTGCGCCGTCGCCGTCGCCCTCGGCTTCGCCGTCCCGAACCTCGACGACGGGTGCGGCCGCCGCGTGGAGGAGCCCACCCTCTTCTACATGCCCCACTGCGAGGCGTCGCTCTACGACGCGCTCCTCGTGGCCAACTGGGAGCCCCGCGCTCAGCTCCGCCGAGTCTGCGTGCTCGGCAATAGCTTCCGGCGGTACGCTGTGCAGGCGGAAGAGAACCGCTCGGGACCCGCCGCCAAGGCCAATCTTGTTCTCAAGGCAGGGCGGTTCGCGTGGGAGCAGCGGATCGACGAGGCCGGGGATGTGGACGACGAGGACTGGTTCGCCCGTGCGTTCAACGAGACGAGCTGGCATTTCTTCGAGGTGGACCAAGACGTCGACCAGAGGACGGAGATAAGTTCGCAAGCTTTGTCCTTCGAGAAATTATCACTGTAACCCAATGTATTAGTACTTGATTCAAGATGCATTTGGAGATTCAGGGTTGGCATCTTCACAAAATTTATCACTGCAATTCTGTGGTTGTATACTAGTGTTTGATTGGAGATGAATTCACACATTGAGAGTTAGCATCTGAGCATCATTTATCACTGTAATTCTATGATTGCATTACTTGATTGGAGATATATTCAAAGATTCAGAGTTGGCATCTTAATTAAACTCATCACTGTAATTCTTTTATTATATACTAGTACTTGATTGGAAACAAATTCAAAGATTCAGAGTTGGCATTTAACACTGTAATTCTATGATTATATTACTTGGTTAGAGATGCATGCAAAGATTCAGAGTTGGCATCTTAACAAATTTGGTGTTTACTTCATCTTGATTTGCATTGAACAAGAATGGAAGCTGTGCATTTGTCTTTCTGAATTTAGACATTGAGTCCCCACATTACTTACTGGCTGTGACCCAATTTCCAGTGTCCCGAGGTTTATCGGTTGATTGTTCTGATATGGGAAACGGGTACTCTGCCTTAGAACATAACCTGTAAGGCTGCTTCTTTTGTAGACATTATTTCATTAAAAGGGAACCATTAAGGTTCAGTATGAACATAGTTCAACAAAGCGCTAGGCGTTAATTGTGCGTTTTGCCACCGCCTTGCGTTTTTCTGATCAAAGCGCATGCTTATGTGCAATTATGTGCAGATTAAGCGCAGTTATGCGCTAGGCGTTTTGCTATCGCCTAGAGCCTAGGCGCGCCTTTTTTAACAATGAGTATGAACCACTTGCTCAGAATGCAAGGAGAAATATAACACATGATTTAAGGTGAACACTGAGCAGCCTGCTATCCTATAACATTCAGAAAGGTAAAGGCAGATTGATTTGCCCCTCACGTAACGAAAAGAAATCGCTAAAGAACCCCCAGGATCTATTTATCTTTTTATTTCCAGGAGTGATAGCATCATAATATTCTGAATTCTCAACTGATTTACCTAACCTCATTCTATTCTGAATTTATCTCTCCTGACCTCATTCTATACATGTGACTGAAAATTAGCTGTGATCTTTACATAACGGGAGCCCGCCCCTTCCATTGGTCAAAACCCTCGGAGACCACCATCTGCAGCCCTCCAGATCCTAGTTGGAGATCATTGCGCACATTGCAAGGATGATGCATTCAAAGGTTCATAGTTGATATCTTAGCAAAATATGGTGCTTATTTCATCTTGATTCCCGATGAAGAAGAATGAAGCCACGTCTGTTGTCTTATCCTCGTCTCACTCATAGGAATTCAGACACCGAGTGATTCCCCAATCGCTGGCAGCGAACCGATGAATTGAGAAGTAAACTCTCAATGTGGCGTTGCATCTATCATTTTCAGGAAGCTTCGGTGTCTCATGAGGTTAACTGTTTCTTTTCATGGGTGCTCCACTATAACTTGCGTGCTCTATATACCCTCAGAACGTTACCTGTACGGCAGTGCCTTGAATATTCTTCTGTAGGACATTTTTCTGCCGTGCCCACTGATTTCATTAAGGCAATCATGAAGGTTAATTACAAACCACTTGCCAAAAAATGCAAGGAGAAACATAGCGCTGTAATGCTATCATATACATCTGGAAAGGTGGAAGCTGATTGGTTTGCCCCTCAATAAGGAAAAGAATCCCTAAGAACCCCCAGATTTTTTCCTGTTTCTGATAACTGTAGCATCATAATGTTCTTGAATTTTCCACTGATTTACCTTCATATCTCCCGAGCACATTCTGTTCCTGTGACTGAAGATCAGATCTGATCTTCACGTACCCATCAAACAAAGGCCTTTGATGATCACCATCGCCAGCCTTCCAGATCCCAGTTGGAGAACTCCAATGGAAAATCAAGTACAGATCACATGAATTGGGCCATCGGCTGATTTTGCAAGCGGTGGCATAAACACCTAACCTGTTGAGGACTCCACAACAAACTCAATTGTGTGAGAGAACAAGGAGCAAATGTATAAACTTAGAAGAGCCTCAAATAACTCCATATAATGTCGAAATGGGCTACTAAAACAATAGATGCTGAATAGAATCACAGCGGGCTGAAGACATGTGGTGCATCTTCTGCTGCTCTATGTACATCCCCGCTTTAAAACAGATTATCTTGCCAAGAATGGTGCTTGGTATTTAACCAAAGCCCTCTTGTCACGGCAAGCCTGGCAACTAATACAACGTCCGGACAGTTTATGCTTGCAGGTTCTGAAGGCAAGGTACGCCACGATGTCATCATCTCCGACATGGTTTTCTCTGGCAATGCATCATTGACATGGCATGCTATTGAATATGGCTTGGAATTTTTAAATAAGGGTTTGATCTGACAGATAGGTTCGGGAACTAAAGTGCTGGTCTGGAGTGACAATTTTTTTTGAGGCAGGTCTGGACTCTGGAGTGACAATTGGATACCAGAAGACTTTGCTGGCGCTGGTGCCGGTGGCTTCTGATGGGAGTTTGCCGGCGCAACCTGCTGCAGCAGTACTTCGTACCTGCAAATGTGGAGGCGAAAATGAAAATTCGGCCTTCCGCTCGACACACGATGAAAACTTCCTCGCCTGTCACCTGATAAAAATTCTGGTGTTCTCTTCAGTCCGAGGTGCCTACAAGTTAGCACTGAATTTCAACTTCTTTGATCAGGGAGTCGGGGGTCCTAGTTCGAGTCCAGATAGGTCTGCTCCAAGCTGGGATTTAATGTTGAAGCCTCCAGTTGCTCAAAAGATTTCTACCTTTGCTTGGAAGCTTCAGCACCAGGCCGGAATGGCCGCTGCAGCTATCCCAGGTACAATGGGTGACGATGGTTATAAATTTCTAATGCAAAAGCCAGCGCCTCCTGTACGACGGTACATGAATCCCGTTGATTTCTCTGAATCCCGTCAAGGTTCTATTTGCTTTTTTTGCACTGAAATCTGGAGGGGTTGACATTGCGTGAGTTCAATGTGCTCAGAGGTGCAACTCTTGCATTGGTTCCTGGAAGAAAATGTTTATAGACGTAGGATAGGCAGTATTAAGGTTATTTTTGCAAGCGGGACAAAACCACTAGAAATGCCTATTTTCACATTCATTCTCATTCGACCATTAGTAAAATGACATTCAACATTTCATCGAATATTAGGAAAATGACATTTCTCTTCTTTTCTCTCCTACTTCAAAAATGCACAAGGTTATGTCGTCTGCTCCTCCTTTGTCAAACCTGTCGCAACTATTTTGCCAATTTCCTTGGAGAGTTCTTTTGCGCCCCATGTAGTCAAACTCACCTTCATCCACCTCTCATGGATTGGCGCAGTCAAGCAAACCATCGTGCTCTCTCTGTCCGGGTTTATTAGGCTCCCTTTTATTTTGGGTCAAAGTTTGACCATGAATTTTAACTAATAAAATTTAACTTATATGCCACACAAAATGTACCATGAAAAATCTCTTCCAAATACAAATCAAACAATATACTTTTTATAAAATATGCTTTGTATTTTTAGTCAAATAGAAAGTCAAAGTTGGATCGAAAATATAAGGGGGCTAATAAACCCAGATGAAGGTAGTATCTACCAAGACAATGACTATGAAGTTGATTCCTTGACCTATCCACTGTCCTCACCTTATAAAGGGGGGTGAGGCCTAGGGTTACAAGAATCCTACCGACCTAAAGCCATGCTCGGTCCAGCTTGCCATCTGACGGGCCACCCAAGGTGTAGCGCACCATCATATGGTGGAGTCTTGCACAAGTTTGGGTTGTCTGAACATGCCTTAGATTTCATCTCCCAATGAGCAGGGGATCACATCAGCAACTTATACTCCCACCACTCCAGAATAGTTGGCACATTTTTTTACCGAAGATAGTGGGCAGCAGAAACACCAATTTTGGACTAAGATGCCCCCGCGAGGTCTTATTTGAGGCCGTGAAATCTCGCCAAATTTGAGGAAAAGCAGGCCATTGATGGCTGAGAGAGGGAACACTGCGAGATCTGAGGAGAGAGAAGACATCGGATGTAATGGCTAGATCATTAATCGCCTCCTCCCATAGATTGTCTATAATTTACTCTCTACCATGATTTCGAGGGACAAGATTAGAAGTTTGATTCATTTGCGAGCATTAGGTAAATCGTTTGAAATTTATGCCCCCTATTTTGGGTTGGAGATGTGCCATGAATCTTTCGGGTCGAGTTGCATGGAAATTTGTTATGAAATACATCATTTCAAATAGGCAATACATGACTTGAGATGAATCAATGGTATTAGTAATACGAATAACAAAGGAATCTGATAGGATTGGAAGTGCAAAACATAGCATTGTCACAAAAGACATGAAACTGTAACTAGGAACAGTCGCTCGAGTAGAACAAAGAAAAAACCGCCTTGATGAGGGTTAAAAATAGATTGGAGCAAATATTCAAATTCACATGGAATTAAGATATACTTCCTCCGTTTGAAAAAGCTTGTCCCTCAAATAGATGTATCTAGCACCACACCAAGTTAGTGCTAGATACATCCATTTGAGGGACAAGCTGGGACAAGCTTAGTGCTAGATACATCAATTTGAGGGACAAGATTTTTCGGACGAATGGAGTAGAAGGCTAATCCAACGAATTTTGGTGGCACCATTCCTTTGATCCAAATGGCATTCATAGGAAAGGAAACCATATGAATTAGAATCACATAAATAACCCTCAAAAAATATAAAGAGTAGCTTAAGCTTGTGTCAGCTACATATGCACGCATGTCAATGTCGCGTCCCATAACTAAGGTAGATGAGCTGTTAGGGTTATCGGTATAATCTATCAATCTTGGCAATCCATTGCAAAATCGGATGGCTAGGAGAGCAAAGGGCCAAGATCATTGATGGACTAAGGAATTAATCAAACCATCTATTTCACACTATGGTGTTTATTTTTTTCCATTGATACGAACCAAATTCGTTTAATATATGCTAACAAATAAGCGGCTCAGCAGTAACCTTTTCCTGGCTACTGCTAGCAAGAGATTAAACGCCGGTGCTCATCCACCAGCCCCACTCACACCCAGAAAACAGTGTAGCGTCACCAAACCCTGGGACGCTCCAAGACGACGATAGGGACCACCTAGGGTTCAAATATATGTATGTCATTCAACTATCTCACTCGGATCTCCCTGGCACGCCAATCCCACGAGAAATCAGGAAACATACGATAAATTACGCAACACCCACAGCCAAGGCCACGCGGTGTCAGTGTTTTTGAAACCTTTTGATCCCGGGCCCACGCACCAACCAGCTATAACGCGGCCAAGTAGTACTGGGCACCCGTCGCGTCTTCTAGAGAAAGAATAGCAAGAAACTGCACTGAAGCTGGTACTAGCACTGAGATTGCAATAGGATGGATACTAGCATTAAGATTGCAATAGGGGATAGACATCATCGAACATACTAACTGGAGCATCGAGGACAGTGAAATACTAGTGCACCACATTACGTCCTTTCAATTGCTGATGATACCAAAGTAACGAACCACCAATAGTGCTATTACGGAAATGACTATCACTGAGTACAACTCAAAATTAAAAATCACTAACAGGTCATCACTTGATGCTTACAACTAGTTTCCTGGTGGGATCCATACATACCAACTCTGACTCTATCTGAACAATCAGTCGATGGATTATGTACCTAACAACGGTACCACCGAATTGAATGTGAATTGTGATCTGCGAATTCACTTTGCTTGCTTACTGTTGGGTGGAGGCGTTTGTTGAGTTGACAGGGTCAGCGATTGTCCGGCACCAGGTAGGACTCCATGTTGATCTGCGATAACCGCGCGCCGGGAAATAGCAGCTGGGGACAGGAGCGTTTATGGAATTAAAAACGGGTACCTAGGGAGGAGCGGCAGGGGCTGGAATGTAAGGGGGTCGGGGGAGGGAGCAGAGGAGGCATGGGAACTCACGTCGATCTGCTTTTGCACTTTGCGGGGCCGACCGTGAGGGCGGCTACGCGGGAGTGCACCGGTGAGGCCGTAGATGTCTTCCTCAATCTCCTCCGCGGAGAGTGATACAGAGAATTGTGGCCTCTTGAGCGCATCCGCGCGGATCGACTGCCGCTTGCGCTCGAACGCCTGTGGCGGCGCACTCGCGGCGATCGTGGCCACGAGGGATGGCATAGCAAGGCGACGCGGGCGGCCAGGGCGTGCCTTCAACGGTTGTGGAGAAACCGCCTCGGTGACCTCAGGGTACTTGTTGACTACGGGGTTGCCAGTGCCCGATGCCTTTGCCACCTTGCCAAGGTCAAGCTGTAGCCTCTCGCTGACCTCATATTGCTGATTCGAGGAGGATCCCGTGTCCGGGGCGATGGTTTCGCCATGGCGGTTGACGGGAACGCACCGCAGCCGTCGTTGGCTCCCCCAGGGCTTGAGCATTGATGGCAGCAACATTAGCCTCCCTCGATGGGCGCTCGACGGCGTTGGATCTACCTCCACGGCCCCGCCACCCGCCTCCCTAGCGCCACCTTCCTTGGTGGGATCTGATGGGAAAGCCGCAGGCGACGGCTCCGCCGGGTTCACCATGGTCAGGGGGGATGTCGCACCCACGATCGCCGCTTTTGCAGCCGCTCTAGATCTGGCTGCGGCGGCAGTGAGAGGGGTACGATCTGATGTGGTGAGGACGAGATCTGAGCTACGACGAGGACGAGGGTGGGTTTGCTTGCGGCATTTAAAGCATGGGCTAAAAGGGAAATAGATGGATGTGTCATTGGTGAATAAGTAACGGGGGGAGGGGGACCGTGTGTACGCGTTTATTAGGGGGGGGGGGCGTACAATGAGGTTTCCCCCTATGATTTATGTCATTTTTTGGATTTATTTATAAAACGGTGTGTTTTTTCTGTTTTATGTTTACTTTCTTACTTTCTTTTTTGCAGGAGAAAGTCGTGTGTACACTCCATTTCTCTATGAATTTCTCCCTCTAGACCATTGCATGGATCACCGTTTTTAAAACTAATGTTTCAGTGTACCTTTCTGTGTAGGAAAAAAAGTGCATATGATGCAATGCTGATCTACACATTTACCTTCATGTCGAATGATCCTATAAAAACAAAAACAAAATACTTTAAAGCTTCATTCGGCAGCGAGTCTAAGGATATAATTTTAATGGCGTGCAAGACGTGTTTCGGTAGTCAAATTGACAATCTAAAATTGTGCATGCCATACAAAACTGGATATAGTAACCATGCTCATAAGAGCGTCTCCAACAATAGGGCATCACTGCCTTTTGCGGCTTTTGGAGGCCAAAAAACCTCTCCAATAGCTGCCCAAAAACTTCAACATGGTCAAAAAAGTTTTTGGGTAGCCCAAAAACAGGGCACAACCGGATGCATATATTGGAAGGTTGCTGCCCAAAAACGCCAATCCACCCCTTGCCGCCCAACCGCCTCCTTACCACAGCCCCCCGCTGCCAAATCCTGTCGCTGCCGCTGCCGCACTGAATCCAACCGATTCCATCCGGATCCAGCCACCACCAACACCGCCGCACCTCCCCGCCGCCTGGGTCTACCGCCTCCCGAGGGGTGGTGCCGGCCAACGGGAGCATTTGTCGCCTTTAAGTTTTCGCTCCATAGCATGTGTTTCGATTAGCACATGTAGTAGGCTTCCCAGCGGTGCGCTGAACTCAGCTCTTCCCCCTTTCCTGCTTCCTGAACCTCGCTTGGAACTGGCTAGCTCTTGTATTTCTGTTATGTCAAAGCAATGAAAAGGGGATCAGCCAAGTTGAAAAACAAATGCAAAATTGCTAGATACAGTTTTGCTTAACCACAACAACAATATGTTCATAGATCAACTCCAGGGATAAAGAGTTGCGAGGAAGAATAATGTGATGGTTGCAGTGAGGTACTAGGTAAACGACAATTGCAATGACTCAATGAACACATCATCCAGCAACCCCAAAAATATCAATCCAATGCTACCCAGTGG